GAATTTGTACTTATTCTTTTTTCAATAGATAAAGGTATATGTTTAATTATATAGATCTATAATTTAGCTTCGGTTTTTGAAACATGGTAATTCCTGTGTAGCGAAGAAACCATATTTTAAATCAGTTAATTTATAATATTTATGCTCTGTAATTTACATTGAGCACTGTTTTGTAAAAATAAAATATCAATAAGAACACCAGATTATATATCTTACTGTTCTTTGTTTTTATTATAATATATATATATATATATATATATATATATATATATATATATATATATATATATATATATATAAAAAGAAAAGACTTAAATATTCATCATATAATCTGTTAGAAATTTGTTTTGAAAGATATACATATATATATATATCTGTCTTCTCAGACTGACTACATTTTATTAAATGATATAAATTTAGCCAGACAATCTGATAATAAACCAGACATTTAATAAAATAATATAAATAAACAATAAAAATGAAAAGCAAAATTAACTTATTTTTATATTAAAAAGACCTCCTTGGAATAATCCCTACCACTTACAGATTTGGTATTATATATATATATATATATATATATATAAGGTGTAATAGCAAAATTGTTCAATTGTTAGATTAAGCTTTGAACTGTTGTATCTTGGAAATGATTAAAGATATCTTACTGGAATTTTCTGAGGATTTTATGACACTATTGGACTCTAGATTGAGCAATGAGAATATATAATTGCTCTTCAAGCTTAACAGAAGAATTGTGATGAAATCAATCATGAATAAAAATGACATGTTCATCATTAATTAATCATACATAAGGACCAGAAGGTCATGAACAATTGAAATAAATTGTGTGTGTGTGTGTATATATATATATATATATATATATATATATATATATATATTTTATTCCAGGATCATTTTCCAACTTATTCATGATGATCTTCACCTTCTCTAACCCTCTAATTTTCTGTCCTGGAGTAACAAAATGCCTCACATGTTTCACGTACAAGTTTCATTTTCAAGTCTTAACTGCTCTTTGGACTGTCATAACTAAAACTCCTCTCTGACATGCCAAACTTATTATGGATTGAATTGGATCTTTTCTAATTGATCTCTTTAGCTCAAAGTTGAAATGATGATCCCACTTCCTGTTGTTCACCTCCTGATCCAGTTTTCATCTCTACTGTTCCCTCTTTTTTAAACTTATTCACCGTTCTCTAGATGGTTTTTGACTGGATTTAAAGATGGAAGCCAGGGTATGAATGTTGGTACCATTACTAAAGGCCTGAATTATCTTTATCCTCTCACCATTGCTCAGTTGGCAAGATAGTGGGTCTGACACAAAATGATTTTAACCTGTTCCCTTTCTAGCTGAATAAGGGTTTTCAGTGATTCTTATAACAAATGGTGTCAAGATGGCTAAACATCTTATCTGAAAACCTGGAAAAAAAGAAACTCAATTGGTTTACTGGTCTTTTAGATATTAAACATTTTGTGGGATGGACAATTATCCCATGCTGTTACTTGATTTGGACAATTTTGCTGTTACACCTGTATAAAGGTAGATAGGGTAGTATATATTTCCTTTCAATTAAAAAAGCAGTACACATTGTCCACTTAAAAAGGTCAGGATATAATCTCAATTAAAAGGAATCTATTAAGTTTTATATGAGTCGCTACTGAAAAGCTCTTGGCTTAACCTATTTCCTGAAATCAATATTTTAATGACTGAACATTAGAACACTGATTTTGGGAAGTCGATCAGCCTGTGAACTCTTCAGCATACTTTTGTATATCTTAATTTAGTAAAGGGTTAACGTTAATGGAAGTTGTGGCTCAGTTGTTGATATATATGAGTAATAAAGAAAATTCAAATGCAATCACTTGGGCTTAGGGTGGAAAAATAAATTATATGAGACTGGCTGCTGAAAAGTCAAATCAACATAAAGACAACACGAGATGTGATAAACTCAAATTTTATTCAAATTGCCGCTGGATCCAGTTTGCTCCCAGCATTCCCTAGTGGGACCAGAAGTGCTTATAGTCATCATAATCAACATTATTGATGTTGTTTTAAACAATAACAAGAAAATATCTTGACAGGACAAAGAAATTTATCAATTTTTCATGTGGTTCTTAAAAATAATAATACATAATCATGGTTTTTATTCAAAATGAATGTAGATGAAAAATAAAACATTTAAATATTAATTAAATACAGTTAAATATTTATTAAATACAGTTTAGTGGATAAAAAATTTTGTTTTCACTGAAGATAAAAAAAGCTAATTTGGTGGGGAAGAATGAGACTGTAAAAGTTTTGTTAATTTGCAGTAAAGTAAGATATACTTTAATTAGATGAGAAGATAAATGATTTCTGATTTGCTTATAACTTCTTTGCTCATTTACAAAATAGCAGTTCATGCAATTCTTAAACAATTGTCAAAGATACATTCATAAGATATAGAAAATAAATTTGAATTATGCTCCTTTCCTTATTGCCACCAACGATTAAGTGATGATAAATTGAAGATTGTCTTCCTAGCAGCAGCAGCATTTGTGATGGGTGCCTGTGTCGCTGGAAGTAGAGATGTTCTTCCTGCTGGTGGATTTAATCTGAAGATCAAGATAAAATTGCATCACATTGTAATGCTTTATTAAACAATGAAGTCCCTCAGTTCCAGTTGAAATGTCCTTGTAGTATGATTCTCGTGAAGCAATGATCAAATGCAAAAAAAAAGGATTTTTAGTATTTATTTCAAAATTGTTTTATTTTATGGCATTTATACAGGAAATTGCTGTTAGTTTACTGAAAAAATTAGTAAGTCTCAAGAGAATTTTAAGAAAAATTATATATACCGAAAACTTTTTTTTTTCCTTTTTTCTTGGAATATGGGAGGAAGAAGGGCTAATTCTGTGTTTCTTAAAATTGTTTCTCAGCTGGGATTGTGTATATACTTTTGTTATAAGTCTCTCTTCAATATATAACAACAGCATTCATTTATAAATTGATCATGTGCTTAAGTCAAGGGGAGTAACAATTTAATATAGCTTTTTTTCTACAAATGGCCCTGAATGAGCACTGACCCCAAATTCCTAAATATACCTAAGTACCTCTTTTCATAGATATCATCAAAATGATATATTAAGCAAAATTGCTTACTGGTTCTGAATACATTCATTGTTGGAGGCCAATACTTATGTTTGTAAAGTGAATTCAAGACGCCGGAATTAGTAGGAAAGGTGATCTTTTCTGTAAACACTTAAGTCTAGAATTTTTTCAGCCTTGGAGAAGCTGAATATCACTGTGTCACAAGGCAAGGCTGACTTTTTACCTGTTGAGGAATATAAAGCCTCCAATGAGAATTATAGCAGAAAGTGATCTAAGAGCCTATTTTAAGATGTGGGACCAAGAGAAAACTAAGTTAAAAATAATAATTAGTCACAATAAATTTTATCGGTCAGGAATAGATGAGGTTTAGAGCAATGAATAAGATGTATTAATCCATTCACAAGTTAGTAAATCCCCAACCTTGCCTACTCCACCCCTTAGCAGGATGGATGTGTTTGTAATGTTTCAACCTTGTCATTAGAAGTTATCGAAGGACCCAAAAATACACAAAGTGTGAATGATAAATTCTTGCCTAAATTACACAAAAATGAAAATAACACTGACATCTCATTTTAACAGATATATTTACAAAAATTACACAAAAATATCTTTAAATACTAAAGAGTAAATTTATTCAATAAAATTGCCATTGGTTTCAACTACAGCCTCCAGACAACTTCGGAATCTTCTGCAACTCTTCTGGAGGGTCTGCTTGTTTAATTTGGTGAATGCTGCCATAATCCTTGCATTCAGTTGATCTTTGGTATTACAAGGAGTTTTGTTGGTCTATCGTTCAACTGCGCCCCACGCATAATTATGAAGGGAGTTGCAGTCTGGGGAGTTAGGTGGCCAGATGTAAGGGGTGATGTGGTTGCAAAAATTGTCTGATAGCCATGACTGGGTTCTCCTGCTTGTGTAGCATGGTGCAGAGTTATGTTGCCAGATATAGGGTCTTCCAACAGGCACTCTCTAGACTCAGGGCAGCACTTCCTCCTTAAGGCACAATGTAGGCCTGCATGTTGAGTCTGAGGCCCCATGGGAAGATGAATGGAGGCATAAAATTGCCATGACTGGTGATCACTCCAAACACCTTTGTAATCACCATTAAACTCCTCCAATTCTTTCTGAATCCTCTGTACTGTCCTCAGATTGACACCCAAATACTCTGAAATGTTCATATTGGAACTTCTAGCATGAATGTCAAGCAGCATGCCATTTCCAAATTTTTGGTGATGCGAATTGCATCATGGTGCTCTTTTTCTCACAGGTGGTACCCAAATTACCCTACTATTCTGTGCAGTTGGCAAAATAAAAAATGCACATGCATGAAATTAAAATAAAAAATGGTGACAATTTACCCATTGCACCTTTTGTGTGTGTGTGTGTGTGTGTGTATATATATATATATATATATATATATATATATATATATATATATATATATATGTGTGTATGTTAGTACAGTTGTTAAGCACACAAGAAAAAGACTCTTACATGTGAAATTGAGCAGAAAGAAGAATTTAATTACAATTAAATTGGGAATGAAAGAAGGGTAAAAAGACTTAAAATATTCTTTTGAGCACCTAATGAAAATTAAGCTGGGTAAAGAAGTAATGTTCATTTGAAAATTAGTACTTACAATTGATAAAATCAAAAATGTCCTTAAAGAAACACAGTGAAAGTTCTCTAGAATTCTATTTTCTGTGCTGCCTCACATGTCCAAGTTATATGCTTGAAAATTTTACTCATTACATAAAATATTTTATTCAATTATTGAATTTTTTTTTTTAATATTTGTCAAGTGGAATTTTTCTGTTCTCAAGAATACATTTCATTTTAATCAAGATTGAACCAGAAGATTATATATTAACTTTCATTTTTTTCCTTTCTACAGAAAATGGCTGCTGAAGCATTTACTGCTGAAATATCCAATTCCCCAGGCAAGTGATGATGCTAGTCACAGAGATGGCAATAATGAACAAAACCAGAACTACCATCAGCTGGCTGATGACGTCCATCCACAAGACAACAGTAATGGACACCATATCTGCCAGCACCATGCAAACACTGCTGTCAACCAGACCCTCCATAATATTTTCCTGCAAGAACTGAAAGTCTCCACCAGTGCTGCTTCTCGTTATCAGTGCAATTATTATGCCTGGAATCATCGAATGTGGCTGATGAAACATTGTTTAAAATATTCCTTTGTTGTAAGTAATCTTCATTTAAACTGTTTCTTTAACAACACTTAAGATATTTACTTTTTCAAAGGTTTCTTTTTTATTCTGAGTCTGGCTATCAAAGAATGAAAACCAATAGAAATTAAGATGAAAAAATACCAGTTAAAAATTGGTGATGTCTGTAATTTACTAAATAATAAAATCATTTAACTTATATGGATTCAACAATGTAATTACCATGAAATGAAAATCATTTTAAAAAGATTCAAACTTTGTATGCCACAATATGCATAAGATTTTGTATATATTATCTCTCTTTCTCACACAATCTATATATATATATATATATATGTATGTATGTATGTATGTATGTATATATAATGGATTAAATCCGACAAATATTTTGATATAATTTCTGTTTATATGTTATTTTTATGGCAACAACTTATTTGAATAAATGCTCTGTTTTTAATTAAATGGTATTAATTACATTTACTGACCTGAATATTCGAGAAATTTCGGAGAAAATATATGTCCTCCGACAGGAATCAAACCTGTATCCTATGAGGAAACCATCATTTAGCCTGATGTGCTGTTAACCGATTCAGCTACAAAGGACTTCCGGTTTAGCAAAGTTCAAATTACTGCTTTTAAACACACACATTCAATGACCTTTCTCGATAATTCATTTCTTCTCCGAAATACAACCTAACCTAAACAATGACAACATAGATATAATGGATTAAATCCAACAAATATTTTAATATATTTTCTGTTTTGGATACAACTTATTTGAGTAAATGCTCTGTTTTTAATTAAACGCTATTAATTACCTTTACCGGCCTGAATATTTGAGAAATTTCACAGATATTATGGTAAATGTAATTAATACTGTTTAATTAAAAACAGAGCATTTGCTCAAATAAGTTGTATCCATAAAAATAACATATAAACACAAATAAATATATATATATATATATATATATATATATATATATATGAATATCAAACACTTAAAATCCCATTGGTAATAATTTTTATTTCATGAAAGCTATAAAAATAACTCTCAATCTTTCAGACCTGCAAATCACATATAACAACAGAAAAAATTACTCTAGGTTAAAATCAAGAAATAGCAATATCTTAATTAGGGAGTGAGAAAAGAAAGCTGTAAGTTTAAGGTCATGTAAAGGTGGGGGAAAGATGTAAAATCCTAGGATTTTATCAGCAGACTTTAAAGTTTGTACTGACCTAATTTAATATAATGATTTCATATTTAATTCGCTACATTAATATGGCATTTAAAGAAGAGAGTAAAGGAAATAATTGTTAATTAGAGAAAACACACTATCTGGCTTTTACATGGCTAAGATATATATTCAATCTAACAAACCATTTATAATTTATATTAAAAATAGTGTTTAAGGACATTTTAAATAATATTCAGCATTTAGTGAAAGATGTAGAATTTAATGTAAATTAGTATAAATTTTCATATAATTACACAAGAAATTTAAATTAAATTACCTAAGAGATTTAAATTATTAATTATTTAGATATTCAGAGAAACTTAGTATATTTATTTCGAAAGTATATTGAGCCATAGTCCTAAAACTCCATAACCTGGATGTATTTATTAAATTTTGACAGGATACAAAGGTTCTTTAAATAAAAATAAAAGGGATCCAAATTAATTCTCCAGTGTAAATCTATTAAATATATACAAGTTTTGTTCAAAAGTATCTAACATTATATATCTACATTCCTAAACTTCTATACTCTAGATGTATTTATTAAAATTTAACAGGATATGAATGTACTTTAAACCAAAGTAAAGTGAGATTCAAATTAACTGTCTAGCATATATCTATTAAATTTACTAGTTTAGTTCGAACCATATCCGAAATTATATTTATGTGAGATCCATTTATGCAGATTAACTTGTAGTACATAATTTGATCAAAAATATATATTTTTTAAAACACTTTCCATTTATAATATATACATTGTAACAATGACAGTTATAATGGAAATGTCAGGAGTCTAAAAAAGTAAACAACCTAGTAAATCCATCACATACATGGTAAACACTATAATTAGCACTATATATCCACATATTCCCAAACACATATATACTGTCTATACACAAATTAAAAATATATGTAATTCTGAGTGCTTTCAGCTATACTTTTAGCCATTATCAACAGCCCATACACCCATTAACAAACAAAAATAAAATCATCCTTGATAATGGCTAAAAGTATAGCCAAAAGTGCTTGGAATTACAGAATATTTGGACAGTTTCTATACATTCTGTGTCCAGAAAAGAAAACACTTGTTCGAACACAAGAAAAATTAAATAAAAAGCTTAATCACAGTACCTTCTCTGTCATCTTTAATGAAACATATATTTTTTTACAGCAAAAAAAAAGTGAAAATTACCTCAACATAGATGATAATCTATTTCAAGCCATTCTGTACGCAGCTATAATCATCCCTCCCTATCATCATGAGGGGCTGATGATAGTCTATTTCAAGCTGTTTTGTACATGCCTATCTTCTCTGTTGAGGTAATTTTTGTTTTTTTGCTGTAAAAAATACATATGCTCTGTTATAAGAAATATGAGCTCTCTGGATCAGTTTTAATAATTAATATTACTTGGCTCCACCCGGATTATATACCAACAGATTGATTACCTGTAATATATATATATATATATATTATAAATTAATTGATTTAAATGCTCTGTAAATTTACATTGAGCACTATTTTGTAAAAATAAAAATATCTATAAGAACACTGGATTATATATCTTACTGTTCTTTCTTTTTTTATTATATATATATATATATATATATATATATATATATATATATATATATTATAAATTAATTGATTTAAAATATGGTTTTTTATATATATATATATAATCAATAAGGCTGTAGCCTAATGATGGAAAAAGCATTTATTTTATACAAAGAGTTACTTAGGGCTTCTTGGTTAGCCCAAGAACTTTTTTCTTCAATAGATGTTTTGTTAGATTTTGGAAAGTACGCCAAGTCAAGAACTTCTCAATAAACCCACATATCATATTAATCTTCTTCCTTGTCAGTGCACTTAATTCAATGGTGAATATTAATCACATAGATCAAACATTATACAGTGAAAGTTTCAGACCAAAATTCAAAAAATAACTACATATCAAACTTTGACCTTATTGATCTAAACCTCTGTATCCACATTATTGAAATGTTAACATAATTTAAGTGTGTCTTAAAAAGTGGGCATATTCTTTTATGTGCTGTGCCCCTTCAGGACATTAGCAGTCATGGCTCTTCACATTTTCCTATTATTTGTAGAATTTAACAGTGTTTGTCTTTTTACTATCCCTCCCACTTCCTGTTTACGCAGACCTGTAAAGTAAGTTACTTGTGTTTTTCCCTCTGACCCTCTTGCCATCAATATTTCCTGTGAGTGACAAATTCTTTAAGATCTCCATCCACATGTGTGGCTGATGGCCATATCTGGCTGCAACACCAGTTCTTGTCTGGTCAGTACCTAGATGTGCAACTATTCGGGAATAGCAGGTGCTGTAAGCTTGGATAAGTGGGTGGTATAATGGATAGCAGCTTGAAATGAGAAATCTGAAAGCAGAGTTTGAATTCCAGTCAGGTTCATTATATTCACTTACATGCTAATACTCTTGGAACAGTATGAATCCACCTCTTCTCCTCCCAGCTATGGGTTAAATAGTATGACTTGTACCAGAAAATCATTATTGTTTCCAAAAAATTCTTACAATCCAAAAATATGTTTCAGCTTTAAATAAACTTAAAAAGGTTGATAAGCCATAAAAAATAATCAATTATCATGTGTCTCAGAAATTTCAACCATCTCTTTATAATTATAAGTATGTGTGCTTTTTATTGTTATTTTCCTTAGAACTTCCTCATTGCTCACCTCTTCAGTTCATGGTATGCTCAGCATCATTCTGTAGAACCACGTCTCTTTTTCTTCACCTGTGAATTATAGGTGTTAATTATCCATTACTCTAGCTAGGTGCTATGTTCCTATGTGCTAAACATTAATCTCCTCCACAGCATATTATGACCAACCACTTCTAATATCAGTTTTTCTTGCTTATGTTCAGGTCTTGCTGTCTGAATTATCTTGGTCAAAATCATGGATCCAACAGCATATCTCGGATCACAGCTGTTTTCAGTATCGCCAGTTTCTTCTGCGGGAAATGTCCATCTGTCAACAGCTGAGATGCCCTTGCACCACATCCATGGAAGTGACTGATCCAGCTTCTGATTCCATCGAGCTGTCTCTTCACAGCAATGGCTGCAGTCAACGTCCCATGGAAAATCATCTCTTAACAGAGCTTGCTCTTATATCAAAACTAATTCAGTGTTATCCAGGTCATGAAACTCTTTGGTACCACAGGTAAATGTTGGCAATATTCTTCTCTTTTTAAGTTCATTTTTGTGAATCTCTTTCTTTTTGTAAATGGAATGTGAATAGATTTTTTTTTATTTTAGCTTATTTTTATACGGTGTGAGAGAAAATTCAAATTGCAGAAGACTATAAGACTTCTTTTGTTTAATTTCTGAATCGCAACTTTTTTAAATATAAAATGAATGAAGAAAAATGTTTTCTCTGTCAGTCAATCAATCAGTTAACAGCCATACCTGATACACACTTAAATAAACTCCCTACCAAATCTAAATTCTTGTGCCAAACACAAAAACCTACGGAAAAGGGAATAAGTCCTTATCTTCTCCTTGAAGTCAAAATAACTGCAAATCACAAAATATGACTCAACCACTGCATAAAATTTTAAAGGAAAAACATTTCACAAGTAAAGAAAAAAAATGGTACAAATACAAAATTTGCACAAAAATTGCCTTTTGTGCACCTATTAAAGCAGGATAACTAATTTCTGATGCTTCAAAAAAGGATTACCATCAAAATATGGAAAAAATTATGATTTCAGTTTAGAAAAAGACAAGGATTTTGAAAATAACAAGAGAAAGCAATTCAAGGAGGCAGAAAAACAAAGGTGCAATCATCTTTCAGAAGAAAAACAAAAACACCTACTTTTACTTACCCCACAAACATCTCTGGGACATATAGTAATTTTAGAAAAAACACCTTTTAAATTCACACTGTTCGTGCTTGGGAAAATTTCTTTGAATTCTTTTCATTCATTGTTGTCCAACTGCAGAAAAATATTCACTTGTGAAGTTCAAGGCTCTCTGCAGCTAACTGGTAACTGTTGCCTTCTCGCTTGTCTCTTCCTTTTTGCCAATTTGCCTTGTCCCCTTGCTGTCAAAATGTCTTCTTTTTCACTGACCTGAGTTCTATTTATTTGGAAAAATAGGCTCACAGAAGTCTCCCAATCGAGTTCTCTCATTGGTCAGTATATATGAAAAAATAATTTTCAATAAACTTGAAATGAATTCTTAACAATTTTAGTGGCTTTTAACTGCTGAGTCTAGAAAGATATATATGTGTAACAAGTGTTTTAGACAAAATACTCTTATCTCAAAAGAATGTGTATAAAAAAATTACCACCCACACATCTTCATTATCTCTGTAAAATTAAAAAAATATATATACTATGAAATTATGCAAGTCTGTGTTTTTACAATAAAATTCATATTAACCAACCATTGTTAGTAAGATTTTCAAGATATATTTATATGAGTAATATACTATCTGAATTTCAGTGTATAATATCAATCCTTGTTAAAAAAAAAAATATTATTATATAGTGGAAGTGGTATCAGGTTGTATTATGTAAATCAGGTACAACATAATTTTTTAATTATTATTAAATCCAAAGGATATAAGCCACAGAATCCTGTACTGGAATAACACAATGTCTTACATACCTGAAGAAATTGTTATTTTACATTTTAAGGTGGGTCCCTTGACATTCTGTAAACTTCATCAGTCTTTTGTTCATGGAAAATCACAATCTCCCTTGTGAAAACTTATTTTAGTGTGTTAATTCTTACTCGCAGCCAAACTCACAGCTAAACTCAAAGGCTAGTCACCCACTCAAAAAACACCCCCTGGTGATGAGCCTGTACTGGCCCATTACAATTTTTTTACAAAACTTAATACATGTATAATTTAGATAACAATAAGAATTTTAGTATTTAACTAAAATCTGTTCTAAGTATAGCTATCTCCATTTTTCGTCACAGTAATTTTTGACACCTGAGTAAAAAATGCTATGAAACATGTATAAAAATTTTATGGTCATTTTTTCTATTTGTCAAGTCAAGGTGGTCAGAATTTTCTTCAAAATCAGGTTACATTATGCACAATTTTTTCACATTAACCCACAGTAGTGTAATTCTAAGTCAAAATTTCTAGCTATTTTTAAATGTGTTTATGTATTTATTTATTCATTAGTCGATGAGTCTGTCCCCTTTCGCATTTATCATTTTTTATGAGTGAATAGTGACATCAAAATGTTTGTTGCAGTGATTAATTTCCTATTTCTTGTTTGGTCAAATTGCAACAACACACATACACACATTAAAACTATTTTTTTTTTTTAGTAGATTTTTTTCCACTCTAATTTGTATTTTTCTTTGACCTCATTTAACATTATAATGAACAAAAAAATGAATTCAAAATCACAACTTAAAATCATGATGTTGGAACAAAAGGGTATTCTTTCAAAAATGGAATTAAAATCATTTGAGATTATTTTTGATAGTTCAGCTAGAAATTTGTTTGATTATTTCCTCTTTACCATGAGGCTGTAATTTTGGGCACTCTGATCACTAACCTTATTTGCTAGACATGTTAATTTCTTTTTCTTTCTGTAACATTCTTATGACAACTTTTATCAAAATTTATTTAAATTAATATTTTAAAGTACCTCTATGAGATCACTAAAAAAAAAGAGCATAGTGTGATGAAAAAAGACGCCAAACTTGACAAAAAGAAAATTTTATCGACTAAATGTTAATGTTATTATTAAGAGGAAAGAACAAAGTATTTTTTAATTATTTTTAAAAAATTTTCCTTTTAGCATGTTTTTTTTTGTATTGTAGACATTAATTTGGAAAATCTTGCAAAAATAAAAATAATTGTCTGATGTTAATGAAACTTTCAGAAACTATTCACAAATGATGGAAATTATTATGAATATGTTTTCTTCTTTTTAATTTAAAAATATTTTTTCTTATATTTATTACCTCCCCATAACTAATTTTATGAAAACTAGAAATTCAATACCATTCAGTTTAGTGATTATATTAGTTAAAAGCGCAAAAGTAAAGGAAATCATGTATTTTTTTTTTATTGCCCCCCCCCCCAATCAACTCTGAATTGTAACATAAAAAACTCAATATAACAAAAATATTATTTAATTTCAAATGCTTTTAGTTGCTTTTATAAATATGGATAATATTGTCTGAAAGCAAAAAACTTTTTCAAGGAAAAATGAATTTTTAAAACAATTATTTGTTATTTCTTAAATTATTTTATTATCTTTAAATTAAAGTTGTTAAATATTCTAAAATTAGTGAAAACAGCATTCAGTTTAGTCAGTGGTGTTATTAAATAGATCTATCTTTTAGCATTATAATTTGTATAGCTTATAACAATCAGAAGAGCTAAATGGTATAAAAAAAACTAATCCCAGATGGCATTTGTGTCCATAAAACAGTTGTAATTCAAATGTACGGAAGACCAGCAAGAATACAATAAAAAGTTAAGCATTGTTCTCTGCTGTTAGGGCCTTTATTTTTGTGAAACACATGGAGAAGATTTTTCAACTGAGAAGGATACCTACAAGTATTAGTATCATCTTATGAAATTTATATGATCTTATTTTTATATTATGTCAGTTATGATATTTTTCCATAAATGAAATATCAAAATTAATAATAAAATGAATGGGAATACAAATAACACAGTAAAATGTAATAAATGTACATCAAATTTTAGTATTTTATGTACACTTCTGATAAAATTTCATAAGAATGTACCTATAAATTAATTAGATACCTTTCTTATGAAATTTAATCTCACTCTCAACAGTCTTATTTTAATTTTTTTATATATTTTCCATAAAGCATTGTAAATGTAAAGGTGAAAGCTAAGTACAAAAAAAATTAGAGTGCTGAAAGTTTTCCTTAAAAATAACAAGGTAAATAAGTTGGTTCACTTAACTGTAAATAATTATGTCACTTCTATCCTTCCATACAATAACTTTTCCTCTCGTAAGGTAAGCTGTCAATACATGATGAAACCGTCACTCATCACTTGTTAAGTGGCACCAAATGTTATGACTTGCTTTGTCTATTTAAACTAAATCTTTTCGGCACAGAAACTAAGTAATGCTTGTTTCAAAATATTTTAAATAAACATTATAATATCTAATTTTCTTAAAATAAATTTTGAAAAAATTATAATTGATTTTTAAAAGAATTTGAGATTTTCATTTTTTTTTTATAAAATGGAAAAAAATGGTTGACATGATTGATTATCTGTCAGTTTTGCTGACTCAAAAAAAAAAAAGAAGATTTTTAACGAAAATTTCAGACATGCTAGGAATAACTAAAAAATATAAGAAAATACCCCCAAAATACTTATCTTTCCTCTTAATAATAATATAAACATTTAGACAATAAAAATTATTTTCATCAAGTTTAAGGCCCTTTTTGTTCATGCTATACTCTTTTTAGCGATCTCATAGAGGTACCTAAGTTAAAATTATAAAAAATAGTAAATTAAAACAATTCAAGATTATTTTATATTTGATAGTTCATGTCACAACTTTCCGAAGTTTAGGATGAATGGCCTGTTCTTAGAGACTTTTGTTTCTTTGAAACAAACATACTTGGCAGTTGGACTACTCAGGCTCAGCCCAACTAGCATGTATATTTCAAATGTGTTGAACAACTGTCAAGTTGAATAATCTCACATCACCAAATTGTAAATTTTGTAATAAAAACAGATATGAGCTGAAATTCAGATACTATATGTCATCTATGTAAACATAAGTATGTTTGATGCTGATAGGTTTTTAATATAGGGACACACAGGTGGTGATTTGGGTGTGTCCCAGGGAAATTCAATGGGTCCCAACAGAAGCTTTTTAATAAATTTTTGTGTTAAATTGCAGGGCTACATACTAAGTTTTTTTGTTTTTGTTTTTTTTCACTATCATCTTAAAAAAACAATTTTAATCATGTCAAATCACTTAAATTGACAAAACAACTTTGTTTCTTTCTTTTAATTAATTAAATAAATTTCAAACAAAAAAAAGTATTTATATTTAATCACAGTTCAATTAAGAAACAATATTTTTTTGAGAATTACAAAGTTTTTAAACTGACAGAACAAAAGTTTTTTTTTTTTTTTTTTTTCCTCCAATTAAATCAAAAAAATTAAAACAAAAAGCAAAGGTTGACAAACTTCAATGCATTCACATCAAATAACTTTTAAAAAAATGTCTGGTAAGGCAACATTGATGTCTGTTTCATGGCACCAACACATCCCACCACCCAATAAATGAAGGAAAGAGTAAGTGAAAGAAAGAAAAAAGAACTAATAAAAAGTATTTGAAAGAATATGTGCAATGTATTGCTTTTCATGGGTAACTTTAGTTGCATCTCTGGGACATGCAGATGAGAGAGTTACTGTCATTTAAGATTTTTATGTGTCAGGGATGCAAGATACACACTTATCAGCATCTCTGTAAGTATATCCTGCAAACTACCAATATCAGTTTGTTAATACCATTTTTATTGTGAAAACTTGCATAATAAAATTTGGCATAGATATCAATTTACTTTAAAATAAATATGGAAATCACACTTATTTAACAATTGGATGAAATTCATCTTGTTCTCATAAATTGTAAGAATGATTATTGCAGCAAATAGGTTTTTTGTTATACTGATAATTGATTTAATATATAATGTTAAACATTGTTACCTGACTTGTCCCACATTTTCTATTAATCAGCTATCACTGTTTGCTGAAAATAAAAATATATTTATAATCACTCATTAAATATCATAGGAAACGATTCATGTAAGATACAAAATCTCTCTACAATTTCAGATTTTTCTAAGCCTCAACTCAAATTAAAAGACAAAGTTAACTCAATGATGCAATTAGTCTTAGTACTTGCAAAAAAAAACCTACAAATTCAAGTTAATATTTTTATATTTGCCTTACTATAGTGACATTTACATTGTGAATGCTACATTAGTTGTAAATGAATGGAATTTTCTGTATAAATTTTCTGTCAGAGGAACAAATTCATTTTCATTATTCTTATAATCTGTTTTTTGTTTTTCATAGGAGATTCGTGTTCCACTCAATATCACATGTCACTGAATCTCAAAAGGAATCTCTATGCTATCAAAGTGGTTCCTCAAATAATCCCGGAAATGGCTACCTTAAAAAATTTCGCTTGGATCCCAACAGCATAATGCCTTTGAAAGAACTTGTTCAGAATGAAAGTGATTTTGTTGAAGAGCAACTCAAGTCAGCAGATAGCTTTCACCAACATTTAGCAAAGAGATATATTGACTGGGTGAAGACCTTCTTTCCTACCTGAGGGTATGTTGTGTGTGAGTGTGTGTGTGTGTGTATATGTATGTGTGTATTTATTCCTGTGAAAGTGACTGACATGAATGGCCGCATATATGTATACCTACCTGTGTCTTTGACTGTACATTAATTCTTTGTCTTCACTGAAATTAGAATTTATGGTGGCATTTCAACCCAGGAAAGAAAAGAATAAAAAGTGGTTTGTTTTATAATTTTTTTTTCTGTATATAAAATTGTGTGGGTTGTCCTCTAAGCAGATTGAAACATAAAATAAATCAATGAATTAATTTTTATCATCATAATCGTCATTTTTGGACACATATTTTACATAATTTTATTTGAAAGTATTTAATGACAATGCTTAATGCTTACGTTGTTAGTTTTTATTCTATTATTTAATGTATCCTAATATTTTTTAAGACTTTCTACTTGTGTTCCTATAAAAAAATTGTGTTTTTTGTATATTTAAAATATTTACGACGACAGTTATTTTCATGTTCCATACTTTGTCTTCTGCAAGTAACCCTGGTTAGAAGAAATAAGAATTGTGAATGCCGTGTATTTATCAAACATTTACGATTACTCATTTTGAATGAATATATTTATCTGGATATTCAAAGTGTTTATGTTAACTGTATATTAATTTTACCTATGGACAAGTACTGTTATTTAAATTGTTCTTTTATTTATTTATCTACAAAATGTTCATACAAGTATTAATATGCTTTGGATGGCTAATGTGTAAATGATGATCAACTGTCATTATTACTATCATTATTGTTATCTCACAACTGCAGCTACCTTCCAAAGATACTGTTGTATATCTATAATGAAAAATTTCCAACAACGACTTTTTAAATGTGCACAGAATGCTAAGTCATTTACTTTGCTCTTTCCTCAGGAAGGTGTAAAGTGTTTGTGTTTTTGTTTTTTTGTTTTTTTTTGTACTGCTGAAGATGTCAGATTTTTGGTATATATTCATTTTTTTTTTTATTTATTTTCTGCATCAGACTGAATTTTTTAAAAAAAATGCCAAGTAGTGTTTACAGAATTTTGTATATAAAACAAAACCCTCAAATATATTCTTTAACAGAACAATTTGTATTTTCCTTTACTTTAGCACCCATTGATATGGGAGTGTTTTTCTTCCATGAATTTTGTCAATTGAACAGTTTAGTTTTGTGTCTCGAAATAATTACAACTGAGAAGACAAATGTTTTGTACATAATTGTCTTGACATATTTATATTGTCTGGTGATTGTTGAAGAAGACATTATTTCCATTTGTCAGTATCACATCCTCATCCCAAATTTATTCCGATTGATAACATCAACTTTGCTTTTTATTTGACATCTACAAAATAATAACAAAAAAAAAGAAAATAATAAATTGGTTTTGTAAATGCTGCTTTCCACTTCAGAAGTTGCTGCAATGACTTTTGAAATTTGGAAAAATTAATCAATGCACCTGAAGAACCACAAAATAGATGTAGTAACAACACAAAATCAATTTAGTTTCACAACTTTGTGTCCTGTGAAAAAAAAAAAAAATAATATTGCTTAAAATGTTATTTCTTATTGTATACAAAGAACAAAAACCGTAATTTTAGCAAATAGAAAAGTTAATTATGTTGATTGAATGATAGAATATTTGCCAGCAGTATATTTGTTTGTTTTGCTCCTTAAATTATGTCCAATAGAAATAAATTGCACATTTCTACAAATGGGTTATTTCTAAAGTGCAAAATATATCACTAAAGCTTTCTTGTTCTTTCTTTTAAATAGAAACAATCGTGTTAACCTTAGAACATGACATACATTAAATAAATGGGATTATCATGTGGCAAATTTGGTTTTAGATTTTTGTGTAATTGAATCATCCTTAATATTCCTGAGTTTATTCAGACTCTCAAGTCCTCATCTTGATGATTTATCAGTTTCCTGTATATAAAGTGAGGCATTTGTTTTGTTGCTATTGAACTATTTAGCATCTGTTTCATATTCTGTATAGAAAATTACAAATCTCTGATAGTTTATTATAGTATCTTAGTATGTATGAGGAAAAAAAAAATACTGACTTATGTTTTTCATTGTATACAAAACTAACCTCCAAAATTCCGCACACTCACACACCAGTTTAAACAAAATATGAGATTGCTTCATATAATCTTTAAAAAGTGCTGTAGTTATTTTAACACAGATTTTTTAGTTTTATTCTCCGGTGATTTTGAGGCAAAATCTTTTGAATTGTCGTCAGAATATCTTTATTCAAACTGTGCACTCATATTTTTTTAAAACCCATGTTTGGCTAATTGCCAAATTTTTGAACCACCCTGTGAGGACCAAACTCACTATCAATGGCTTTTAAGATAGTATACTATGAGAGATAATTTAAATTTGTTTATGCTATCCTTGATTGTGAAAATACTGTTATATTGAAGCCATGAATGTAATTTGTATGTGTGTGCATAGACACATACATAGAATATTTTTGATACTCTGTATACATATGCATACACACACCTGATCAGTTTTGTGGTAAGCTTTTCTTTGTCTCTCCTAAACAAAATAGTATAAAATCTTTCTTAAATTGCCTGATAGCACAACATGCAATAAGCCCAGCTATATCGCATTACCTTATATGGCCTGCTTTTGTTTTACTTTTAAAGTAAAGGATTTAATTGCTGTAAGAAATCAGATTCTCAAAAACTCAATTCCACCCCATGGTTATTTGATAAACCTGATATTTATGGAACAATGTTTCACTTGCATTTATTTGTATTTTTAACTTTCCACCCACATATATAATTAGCATAAATGAAGTATCCTCTCTTATTGTTTTGCTGAGAAAGGCATTGTTAACGCTTTTTATTGTATTTAACTTAATTTCCCATTACTTATTGTTATCAAAATATTTTCTGGGATCAATATCAGGAATAAAGTCAGAGGCTCCAATGAAGGCACGTCTATAGCATTATATTTAAAAAAAAAAAAAAAAATGGAGGAGATAACATACCAGATAAAATGTAATTGGCTTCAAAATCAAGCTGATGATGTATTATTTAACAAAACACAGCTGCTGAAACCATGTTAGCAAACATTTTATCAACTTAAAAAAAAAAAAAACGGAGATGGGTGTGCAGTGCAAAAAAAAAAAAAATTCAATAACTAATTTTAAAAATGTTATATAAAAAAAAAGTTTTTTTTTAATTATTTACAACTGTTCTGTTTGTACAGATAATTGTACATGAATGTATTTCTAGTTGTTGATATTTGCCTATATTTTTTCATCTGAACTTTACAATGGTTTTGTTTCTGAATGCTTATATTCATTTCAATTTGAATTTGTTTTTCTTTTGAGAATTGGCACATTTTTTCCATATTTCGACTGAGGACATTTTCTTAGATATTTGAAAGGAAATTTAAAATACAAATCCAACTTTTTAATATTTGATCAAACAGAATAAAACTATTTACATTATATTAAACAAAAAATAAATACAATTATTATTTATTTGTACTTAGTCTTATATTCTCAAACTTTTTAAAAGAAATTTAAAAAAATCTTTATCAAACAACACTCACATTTCTTATAGTAAAATCCTGTTTCCTTATATAAAATGTGTTTGATACTACAACTCCCATTGAAATTTGTTCCATTACGATAGTTTCTTTGTGAGTTTTTATATTTTTTGTTATCCTGATGAAAATTAAACCCCATTGTTTAAAATCTGTCAAATATGTTTAATATTCAAAATGTAGTTAATCACTTTTTCAGATCTTACGTAAGTGATGTCCTCAGTCAATGCTGAGAATTGGGAATGCCATTTTTCCAAAAGTAATCATGCAATTTTTTAAAAGCTGTTTATATAATGAACTGGTACTGTAGTTCCAGCCCCCACCCCCCAATGGGCAATCTATTTATACAACTGCACCTAAATGTTTAAAAATGTAGAAAGGAGTTATGAATAGAATTCTGGTTATTTATTTTGAAAAGTGACTTAAATCCTATGAGTAACTCTTTGTAGTCATCTTATTCAGAAACAGATTTACCAACTTTAGTAAATAATTTGGCCAGTTTCAAGGTGACACTGCATTTCAACTTGATATCTATTGCAATATATTATTAATCATATGCAACTGATGTTAGTTTACAAATGTTTTTTTAATAATCTGTTTGAATTTTCCGTTTAATTTCTTTGCTTGCACTGTTGCCATAAATAAAATCAAAAAAGAAAAAAACTTCAGATTATGTGACAGTATTATTTTGATATGCAAGATAAAGTTTACTTTTTTCCAAATCTTAAAAAGCAAATTAAAATATTTTTTAACAGATAGTAAATTTTCTAAGAACTGCATAGAGTAACCTATAGATTTTTGCTTAACCTCTGCAACAGTCTAAGATACCAGGGGGAATTAACTCTTCCAACTATATTTAGGATAAACCAGATTAAATTATGTTGTTTTCATTAGCTCTTACTTGCCAGGTATCATGAATCGATGTTTCATTGGAGATCAGTCGATATCATCAATTTAAATCTTTTTCAACAATATGGGCTTTGTTTATTCCTGAATCAAGTCAAATTGATTGCCTCTAAAAGCGTATATATATATATATATATATATATATATATATATATATATATATATATTGAGTTCATGGTTATATTTATTACATTGAATCGTAATCATGATCCAAAAACATCAGAGCTACAAATTCAAAAATTTTCTTTTTGAATTTGTAGGTCTGATGAATTGCATCGTGATTACAATTCCAATATAATAAATTATAACCATGGAATATTAGTGTTTGAGCCTTTTATATTATATTCTTACTCTGTCCTCGACATTGAGTTCTACCTGGATTCTATCCTCTTGGGAATTTATATATATATTTCTTGATTTACATGAGACATTTGAATAATTCTGTAATCACTTTCTTGTAAAAAGTGATAGTCATCTTTTAGGATGTTTAGCTACAATGTATTCAACCAATTGCTAGAGAAATGTAGAAAAACTTGCACATTCAGCAGAAGTGTGACAGTGGTTCAACCAAATCAACTTTACACTCAGGCATTTATTTTCCATCATTTCTTGGAGTATCTGCCTGCAAATAAAACTGGAAGAACAAGCCAAAGAGAATGCTATGTTTGCATATATACTTCTCAAAGAAAAAAAGAGGCAAAAAATGTTTACAACTTGATGCAAAGAATTCTCAACTCCATTATGCATGGAATTCTTCAAAGACTATGATAGTGTTGAAAAAAATATTAAATTTAGGAATGTAACATTTGTTTGATTTTCCTTTATTTTTATAATCTAAAAGGATTCAGATATAATTTTTATATCTTTTATATGTAATTAAAGCAAAATTAAGCATAAAAACTACCCTTTAAAAACAATTTTCTGGTTTCGTACTTGTTGGCATACATAGTTGGGTAACCTTTTCTTACTGCTTAAGGGTTAGATTAACTACTTGTAATACCATCACTTTTCTTGTTCAATGTTATTTAATCTGATTTAATAAAACCTTGGACAAAACAAACTAAAGACAAATATAATAACTGGCAAATGGGTAAATGTTTAATTCTAAAAGATGACAGTAACATTTGAAAATCTGTTTTAAAAAACTTGAAAATGTTCCAATAAAAATTAAATTACCTCATTTCTTGATAAATATCTTGATATGTACAAGGGAATGTTGAAAAGTTCTCAGCTTGACCAATCAGTATTTCAATGACCAAACATCAGAATACTTAATTTGGGGAAGTGGGCTGATCTGAAAACTTTTCAGTACCTCTGCATGTACCCATATAATAAATAGCTCATTGACTAGAAAGCACATTTTAGATCTGGGATTAGAATATTTCTTTTGTGTACTGGTATATAAAATAATTTTGGTAAAATTGATTACAAGACCTAAAGCTTTTTTATAAGAAAACATTTTTTTTTTTTTTTTTTAGGAGCTTTTGCTTCTACCCATTCAGTATTTGAAAAGTATGTGTGTCTTGATGTATGTATGTTTATAAATACAGACATCAGATTCAGAATTTTATTTAATGTTATTTTTTTTTTTATCAGGTTAAAAGTAAACTATTTTTTCAATTTAAAAATACTTTTTATATTTTCTTCCAATTCTGTTTGCATTTGGTAATTTTGCAATTTTATTGTTTTTTTTTCTTTTTCTCAATTTAAAAATATACTTTTTAAACTCTATTTTTGTTTTAAATTTCTACTTGAAATTTTTCTTAAATGTAAATTTGTATATAAACAAGGAAAATGCTAAAATCATTTGTATGATTGTTTTATCAAGCAAGTTTCCCACCACTATTTTATTATGATTATTTCACACACACACCCCATTCATTATTCTGAAGACTTAACCAATCCAGGAAAAAGCATTGCACATGACTCAAGGTTTGTTTCAATTAAGTATAGCACAAGTTTCTATTTCCAGGTTATTATAAACTACTCACCCACATACTCCCTCTATGGAAATTTGGTATTTAAATCATGACTTTTACTGATACTCTAAAAGGAAGCAAAACTCACTTATGTAACTAATTAAACATATTCAGGTTTTGTATAAATAGAACTCAGTGGGAGGAAATTGTAATTTATAAAAATGATTTACTATTAAAATTACTATATTAAAAAATCTTGTATGGTTTCTAACCAACAACTTCAAGAATACCATTTAAGACTCAGAAACTAAATTTGGAAGTTACTGCTTCAGTACAACATAAAGTACATATTTGAGGTTAGAACTTGATCAGAAACTGAATGAGTGTTCATTTCAGAAATCCCAAATTATAAAAAGTTTATCTGATCTTCTAACTTATCCAATATATCTTCCTCCTTCCTTTTTAAAAAGAAAATAAAAATAGTGGTGTTGGTGTACTCTTTAAATAAATAGACAATCATATATGAACATTTCATATGGAAATGTATATGCATGGATGTTTATAAAAATACTTGTTTATGTCTGTTTACTTTTTCCATCAGTTAATTTAAAATGCAAGAATTACTTTGAATAGTATGTGTGTTATTTGACATTAGGATTACCCTATTGTACCAGATTTCAGATGAAAAAAAACAAAAAAGAATTACTTCTGCCAACAATCTTAAAATAAGGTCTAGGGAAGTTGACTCTCTCTCTCTCTCTTTTTTTATTGCTTAAGCATTTCACCCCATGCAAGGCGGGAGTGCCACTAGCACGCAAGGGGTTACAGAAAGTGGGAGCAAGAATAAAGAGGCGTGATAGAGGAAAGGATGAAGAGAAGTAGATCAAGGCATCTGGAGATGTTGATTGAAATTGCATTTGAATATTTGGAGATTATACCTATCAGGGAAGCAAATAAGAAGAGTTCCACAGATGGAAAGTGCGAGACATGAAGCTATTAGAGTAAAAGAGATGGCTACATTTAACTGTTTTGACAGTGAAAGGGTGGGACTGAGATGCCGACCTATTAGCACATTCAAATTCATGCATTTTGGGAACTAGCGAAAGTAGCTTGTCAGAGCAGTTACAGTGAAAGTATTTGTAGAAAAGACAGAGGGAGGCGACGGCACATCTATGAGAAAGTGACTGTAAATGAGATGCCAGATCAGGGCCAACCACATTGCATTTCCATCTCTGGATTTAATTTATGATCAATTTATATTTCAGTTTAGTTTTATATGTCAATCAAGAATTTTGTTTAAATTTTTATCTTAAAGAATTTGTCAGGCTGGCTCAGTAAATTGAGGAACAAAACTTCCATAAATGATAATTGATATCATTTTGGGGACTAAGAAACAGTCCCAGTTGTCATTTATAAGACAAGTGAATTTTAACTTTTATATATTTACTCATATGTTTTATCATTTTAGGTCACCATAGAGCAAGTAGTAACTTTCTTCAGCACCCCCCCTCTTGTATTTGAGGTAATTACATTGCAGGGTTGGGAAGTTGGAAGCAATTAAGGGGTCACTGGGATCAGAGTTGGTAAAACTATACAGACTCCAACTCCAGTTGAGTTTACACTTTATGTAAAAAGTCTTGCATTATAGAATTTTTATTTTTGTTATTTCTTCTATTGTATATTTATTTTGTATTTGAAAAATTGTGTAAAAAAAAAAAATTTGCAAAACTATATATAAAAAAATCTTATAAATTTTTATTTTTATTTTTTACATCTTGTAAAAGAATATATTTCAACTTATGAAAGTAGTTTTATTTTTTGTTCTGTACTTATTTCTTATTTGCAAAGATATAAATGCAAAAAGTTTTACATTATAGCATTTTTATTGTTATTTCTTTGATATCTTTTCAAATTTAGTCTCTAATTTCTATTAGAAAATATTGAAGAACAAATAAGTATGCTATAAAAGCCAAACTATCTCTATTCTTTGATATAAACCAGTTATAATGATATAAGCCTACTCAAGATAGGAGCGTATACTTAGGCTTTTATGAGATTTGTAGGCCATAATCACTTAATTACATAAAGAGGAGTTGGAGTCAGGTGCTAAAAATGGAGTTGGAGTCAAAGGTTTTGTGTTCGGCTCCACAGCACTGGAAAACAATCCCCTGGACCATGTTCTTTTGAATTCTATTGATTTCCTTACCTCGTTCATTAACAATCCCTTACTCCCCAGTTGTTCAATTTCCTTACCTCGTTCATTAACAATCCCTTACTCCCAGTTGTTCAATTTCCTTACCTCGTTCATTAACAATCCCTTACTCCCAGTTGTTCAATTTCCTTACCTCGTTCATTAACAATCCCTTACTCCCAGTTGTTCAATTTCCTTACCTCGTTCATTAACAATCCCTTACTCCCAGTTGTTCAATTTCCTTACCTCGTTCAGTAACAATCCCTTTACTCCCAGTTGTTCAATTTCCTTACCTCGTTCAGTAACAATCCCTTATGTTATGAAATTGAATTACTTGTTAATGTTTCTTTTCTTTCTTTTTGCTTCTTTGAAAATCTTTTACTCTTAATCTGTTTGATTACTTGTTTATTTTAGGTGCTGCTTTTTGAAAAGGAAGACTTAAGGGCTAACATTTTACCTGCATCTGTCAGAAAGAAACCCTTTTATTCTAAAGTGAGTTGAAGCATTTTATATCAGTTTTGATAATTTGTTTGGGCAAATAGCTTACCTATAACCCAGTTTATAAACAGCTTATTTTGTTTATGTAATCAGTAATACACATTTTCTGTTATTAGAATGTATTTAACTGTATTCTTATGTATTGCTTAAAGCAGTCTATAAAATTTATAAGTAAATGTAACGAGGAATGGCGGTTACATAATTACTTACCCCCATCTGAATACCTGCACTTTTATTGAATCGTACCTGCTCTTAGCTTATTAACTTGTCAATTCTAATGTCTCCATCCAAGCTTTGTAATTTTACACTTTATTCTCTTTACTTTTTTTTTTTTTTCTCAATAGGAGTAGATATATATTGCGCAATTCACACCCCCTTCCTGAACAGGAGTATTCTTTCTTTTTTTTTTTTTTTTTTTTTTTTTTTTTTGCTAATGTTTATCCAATATAAGGCCCAAGAGCTATGTAGAGGGTTACTGTGTGGAGATGTATTTTAATGTAAGAAAGGCCAAGAAGTGAAGTTCTTGGGGATTATGCAGAAATGCTAACAGCTAACCATAAATTTGAATAGGTCAAGATTTAATTAGTGAATACAGTTTCAGAGTTCAGGCAGAAGACATTAGGTGTATAGAGTAGACTTTATAATGAACCCAGGCATACATCTCTACTCCTGTTCAAAAGGCCTGGGAGGAGGAACCAGATGGTAGGCAAATCCATCTACTCCTATCACTTTTTTTCCTGTTTAGGATTAGATTTAGATTTCAGGTTCATTCTAAAGTCTTATTCACTTTCACTCCCATTAACCCTTTGCAACTTAGTGGAATTATCACTTTGCTTGGGGTCTCACTCTCTCTTCCTATTGAGTTGTTACACTACACCCATCCAGTTTTGCTCACAGAGCCCTGCTTGTAGTGTTAAATTTTCAAATTAGATTATGTGTGCATGAATCTTGAGATTGAGGAAAACTAGAAGATGCTCCATAGTTTGTTATTGTCCGCATTGGCAGTTGGAGTCATCATCAGTGGTATGCCCCATTTCTGAAGGTTGGCTCTACAGAAACTAACAGTTGTTTGAAGATGGTTGGTTCTCATTCATGGAGTGGATGATGAGGGTTAGTTTCCTACTTCAACTTTTGGGGAGTGGACTGTCCTTCTAATGTAGTTGGTGGGGATGTTGCCACTAAGTAAATAAAGGTCATCTACTTTGGTTGGCTTGAGACACCCTGTGATTGACCTGCAAGAGGCGTTTAAAACAGTGAAGTTTCTTTGCATGTGATGATCTCCATTCTGGCAGGGCCTATTTTGCTGTGAAGTAACAAAGGTTTAGGGTTGCCAAGTGGATTGTACCAGCATGGGCACTCCATTTGGTGTTAGTCAGCTACTTTAGGATGTTCTTTCTTTATCCAACCATGGTTTTAGTCTTTGTAATATAGTCCTTCTATGTAAAGGACAAGTCCAGAGTGACCCCAGGGGACACAGGCTTAGAAGTGTACTCTAACCGTTTTCCATACATTGATCTTGAGTTGGTGGTTAGCTTCTTAGTTCCGTAGATGGAAGGCACTGATTTGGGTCCTGTCAGGGTTGGCTCAAAGGTGGTTGACTGCATAGTATGGGATAAGGCTGCATAAAGCACTGGTAAGTGAAGCCTCAACTTCTTGAAAGATTGCTTCTGGGAAGCAATGTAGAGATCATCTGCATAAAGGAAGCTTTTAGTATTTGGGTGGATGGGCTGTAGATATTGAAGAGCGGAGCAAGTACATTACCTTGGGAGAAAATGATTCTTTTCTGTTCATCATTGGCTGTGTTTCCCACTGGGGTCCACAAAGAATCATCTGTTTGACATGTTCATGATGAGAAGAGTGAGCTTCAAGTCCCCAGTCATCCCAAAACAGCTTCTCTGTGAGAATCCCAACATTGACAGTGTCATATACTGCAGAGAGTTCAACAAATACAGCACCTGTCATCTCACCCTTCTCAAACCCATCTTCAATGAATTGTTCTAGGTTCAGAGTTGACTAGTGCAAAACTTTCCAGGTTTGAAGCCTGCTTGTTCTGGTATATGCTTAGCATCTATGAACAGAGTCACATGATTTAAGATAAGGTGTTTCAAGAACTTGTAGTTGTAGCAGAGAAGGAGATTGGACTATATCTCTTGGGGCTGGCAGGATCTTTACTGAGCTCCAGTAGTGCTATTACTTAGCTTTCCTTCATATCGTTGGGATCTTGTTGGAGCTCATGCTTTTATCGAGCATCTCAAGGAACCGTGTGAGAACAGCAGGACCCAGGTGCTTAATCTGCTCAAAAGGATGTCATCAAGGCCTGCAGCCTTGTTGTTTTTTGTGGCTTTGATTGCTGCATCCAATTCATTTCTTATGAAGGGCCTTATGCAACCAAAGGGTTCTTGGCTGGATACATCTGGTACCTTGGGCAAATTTGGTCTCTGAGTATGGTGATCTAGGTTGCTTCATCTGTTGAGTAGCAGCTGGTGGGCAACCTGGTTGGTTGTAACTTGAGATTTTGGCTGGGGCTTTGTGTAGTCATTTCCCAATATTCATATAGTCTTGCAGGTTTTCTGCTGCTATGTGTCCTGTCTATACTTTCAGTCAGCTCCTGCCATTTCTTCTACCTGCTGTTCATCAGGGTATCTCTAATAATCTCTAATAATGTATACATGCTGGTCACAGATTGATTTTGAAAATATTTACATATGCAGTAATGTTACTTGGTGTTATTTAAGATGTAGATAACATTGTCTTGTTTTGGAATTAAATGAAAAAGTATTCTAAAATATTTAATTTTTCTTTAAAATATATGTTAAAAATGGGTGCCTTTACTGACATTGTTGGGGAATATTCTTCTTTGATGAAGCCTTGATCAAGTCTGCAGAAGCCTTGTAGTTGTTGAGGGTAACGAGTAGGTTAGTAATGGATGAGTCCAGGTTATCTGCAAAGCTCTTCCAGTTGGCCTTCTTCAGTCGCCTAAAAGGAGTATTCTGAGGTGAGATGACAGCATTCATCTCAAGACCAATAGGTTCATGTTAGGTATGAGAGATTGCGTCTAGCACAAACTTCTCATATTGATTTGCAATGGTGGTTGAATCAAAGATCAAGTCAGAGTTGTATCCCCCTTCTCCACCTTGAGCTGTTGAAATATAGAAGTAGCTTTGCATCTTGAATGAGTTACAGTTGATTTGTATTCAGCCCAGTTCTCTAGGAGATTGCCATCTTCATTAGTTTTGGTCTAATCTCAGGTGATGTTGTAGTTGTTGAAATCACCTATGACTGCGTTGACGCAGCCATTGGTTACAACAGGCCGAATATCGAATATTGTCATTGATTTTTCATAGATAGAGCTCGCTGATATTTACATGATGTTGATGGAGAGGACTTCTATGTTATTTGTGTCTGTCATGGATGAGCTATTGGCTGATAGACCATTATGGATAAAGATTGAACTTCTCGTACGAGTCATGATGTCTCTCAGCAGTAAAGGTCATGCCAGGAATTTGTGGGCAAATGTGGGTAGGGCTGTTGTTTTTCTCTTGACAATATAGGATGTCACATCTGTGTTGGAAACACATCTCTGCCAGGAGATCTTTAATGTTAGATGAGAAAATGCTCAAATCCAGTCCTGAAGAGGGCTTGTGTTTGTGACCTCAAGCCTCATCAACACTGGGGTCTTGGGACATCATGATGATAGATGTCTGGCAGATATAGTATCTGGTTCTGTGGCATGGGGGAAGGATTGGCAAATGAGAGAACTCATTTAACTGTGACATAAGCACTCCCCCAGTGGACCTCTTGCTTGGGGTGAAATGATTTTTAAAAACAAAACTATTATGGGATAAGGATAATATAAAGTAAATCTATAATTTCAAAATAAATAGTATGTTACAGAAACATTTTTATGAATTTCTCTGTTATCCTTCCTTTCATTTTATAAAAATTCTTAATTTCTAACATATTTTTTCTATTATCAAGCATAATCTATTATTGCATTCCACTCTTTGTTAATACTTTCTATTTGGTTTCAATGCTTTTAATATTCTAACCAAGTGTGAATAAGTTGCTTGTCTGTTTTAATGTGTATTCTGTTGAAATGTGCAAGTCTAATTTGAAATATTACTTGTTCTTTACTCCAGATCACTCCACTGCATTGTGCGGCAATCAACCCAAATATCAAATATCTGCAAACACTTGTAGGTGTTGAACCTGACATCAATATTGTTGACAAATGGCAATCGAAGACCAATCCACTATCACGGCAGCTTGTGTTTCTTCAGCACCTCTTGAATATCTGCTAGAAAAAAAGTAAATCTTTCCACATATCTAAATCAGTGGTTCCAGACCATTTTCTGTACATGTCTCCCTCCTGACTCATAATTTATATTATATATATATATATGTGTATATATAATATATATATATATATATATGTGTATATTTATATATATATATATATATATATATATATATATATATATATGTGCATATATATATATATATATATATGTATATATTATAATATATATATACTATATATATTATAACATATATATACATATACATGTGCATATACTATTATATACATATATATAACATATATATGTATATATATTATAATAACACATATATTATATATGTGCATATACTATAATATATATAATATACACATGTATATATGTGTATATATTATAATATGTGTATATATTATAATATATATATATTATATATATATGTGTATATTTATAATATATATATATTATATATATGTGTATATATTATAATATATATATAAGATATTTATTATATATATATATATATATATATATAGATCATGTATGGATAGGAATCTGACAAAATTTTAGGAAAGAAACAAGTAGGAAACAGATCTTGCTCTAACATGTTTCACTTTATTAAAGCTTCAGATAGAAATGATAAAAAGGAAAGAGATGCAGATTAATGGTATGTTGTGTTTATTTCATTGCTTAGATACATGTGGCATGAAGTAACAGATAATATTTAAGTATGTGTGGCAAATATTCTTGACACTAAAGTTTGTAAAAGTTAGTAAGTTGCGGTAGGATGTTTTTCATGGATATATGTGTCACATGTAAAGAAGTAACAGGTAATATTCAAATAATTAAAAAATCATTCTGGATATTAAAGTATGTAAAAGTTAGTGAGACACTGTAGGATATTTTGAACAATTTTTCATTAAAGTATACCTTGTGATTATTTTCAGAAGAGATAGATTCATGAATAATGGATCTGTAGAAAATGGTGATATAATGTAGTTTTTTAAATGTGTGTTAATAGTTGGTAATGTTGCTATAAATATAATTTCATATTTCCTCTTTAAAGAGTTCTTTTTTAATAAGGCTGGCATTGGTGAAATTAAAGTTATGACCTATGTTGATGTGGTGTAATATGAGAGAATTTAAATGTTTATCTAAACGCAAATATCTTTTGTGTTCCTGGATGCGGGTCTTTAGATTATGTGAAGTCTCTCCATTGTACATGTTATTGTACTGTAGACATTTTATTTGATAAACTCCATCATTTGAATTTTTAACTCCAGCACTTCAACTAAAACTTGCAAATGAATTAGTCAATGCTAATACGAGGATTGTTACAACCACCTCCAAAAATATCGGAGATATGATTAGAATGAAAAATAAAATAAAAAACAATTCAAATGCTGGAGTTCAAATGATTCTTCAAAATATCCTGCAGTATCTCACTAACCTTTACAAACTTTAATGTCCACAATGTTTTCTTACGCTTATTTGAATATTATCTGTTACTTCTTTACATGTGACACATATCCAATCAAAACATCCTACTGCATCTTACTATTTTTTACACACTTTAGCATTGAGAATGTTTGCCACACATACTTAAATATTATCTGTTACTTCATGCCACGACACATATCTAAGCAATAAAATAGCCAAACACAACATACCATTAATCTGCATCTCTTTGCTTTTTATAATTTTTTATCATTTCTAACTTGATTTCTTATGAAGCTTTAATAAAGTGAAACATGTTAGATTAAGATCTGTTTCCTACTTGTTTGTCTTCCTATCATAAGATATATATATATATATATATATATAGTTCACTATGGCGGTTCAGAGTGATGGGGACATTGCCCTTTTTAGATGACCTCATAGAATGAAAGGATGGGTTTTTTTCATACCAGCATCTTTCATAAACCCACTTTTATAGGCTTGTACCCAAGCTGGAACTCTTGTTCGCAAGGCCTGAAGAATTGGTCTAATTTCTACCCTAGTTCATCGAGCTTTGATGATCTGTTCTCCTAGTTTGTTAAATGGAGAGCTTGCTAGGATCCAAAAAATTTTTGAAAGTAATACGTATCCTGGTAATATCATCAAACATGTTATAGATAGTAAAATTAGATGATTTAAGGAACCAGCAGTTCTAGGACCTAGTCGGTGCCCAATTTATTTAAAGTTGCCTTTCCTAGGCAGGAAGTGTCAACTGCTGACAGAACTTCAGCTTGTGTTGCTTCATGCTACAATGCTGTTAAGTTGCGTAGTGTGTTCCAAACAAAATCCGTGTTTCCTTCCTTCAGTAAGGATCGTTTGTACTATTTTCAGCTTAGTTATATATAAATTCAAATGCTGGTGTGATGCAGTGTATATAGGAGAAACCAATCAGAGGTTGGAAACACGGAACACACAACATGTAACTGCCTATTTACATTCAAGTCATCAAAGTCGTGTTTTAAGAAGCTCTCAAGCAGTGCACGACTTGTCTATTAGGCAGCATTTGCTGGACAATCCTGATTGTGTCACCGAGCATGATGACGCATTTTTTTCCATCTTATATAGTGTTTGCTGGGTTTACCATCTCTGAGTCCTTGGGGCTGTTTACATCAAATTTCATTAGCCAAGCCTATGTAAACAAAAGGAGCATTTTATGCATTCCTTACATTTGATCACAGGACTGAATGACTTTTTTCTATTTTAAACTCTTTTGGAACTTCCCAGTTTTTTAGTCATTAATTTATTTATAATTAAAATTTATTTAAATGTGTTCCAACTTGTCCTCCTCATTCGTTATTTATTATTAATGTGTCTTCAATTGTGTCTGTTTTTTGCCAATGATTACCTTTCGTAAAAGCGTTAGACAAAAGGGTCCTAAAATAAATGACATCTATTTTGACGAAAGGGTCCTAAATAATGATGTCTATTTTGTTTAAGTCTCTCTCTCTATATATATATATATATATATATATATATATATATATATAATTATATATATATATATATATGAATATATATATATATATATATAATTATATGTATATATATATAAAATATATATATATATATATATAATTATATGTATATATATATATATATATATATATATTATATGTATTATATATATATATATATATATATATATAATTATATATATATTATATATATATATATATATATATATATATAATTATATATATTATATATATATATATATAATTATATATATATATATATATATATATATATATATATATAATATATGTATATTATATATAAGATATATATATATAAGATATTATATGTATATTATATATAGATATCATATATATATATATATATATATATAAAGAAATATAGTCTTTAAGGTGTGCTATATTTGAATAAAGTGCTCAATATCAGAGATAGAGCGTGTAAATATAAAAGTGAACATAGAAGTCAACACTTAGAGGCGACAGTCTGTTTATGCTATATGCAATCGTCACAGGCCACATATGCTGTTATTTTCTCTTAATTTATTTATTAACGTAGTAAAAAATTTGTTTATATCACTTATTTAACAGTTTTGTTTTTTGGTTTGAGAATTTAATTAAAGCTTTTTGTTCAATTTTTGGGGTGATTGTTTGTAGTTTATTCTAACTATTATTTTGTATGGTACAGTTTTTAATTGATTATCTTTATTTGGGATTGGTTTGTTTATTTTACTTGGATGAATTTAGGTCAATTTATTTTTACTTTGTATATTTTCTCTTTTCGGTTTTCGATTTTTAAGTAACATAGTATTTATTTTTTTTTATTGTTATTTTGTTTATTAGTATATTTATTTGTTTTTATTTTATTTTTCCCGTTTTTCATTTTTTTTAGGTTACATAGTAAAAATTTATTTTCAATGCACCACTAACCCGCATATATATAAATAGCCGAGAAAAATAACAGCATATGTGGCCTGACGATTGCATATAGCATGAAACAGACTGTCGCCTCTAAGTGTTGACTTCTATGTTCACTTTTATATATATATATATATATATATATATATATATTATATATAATTTTATATATAAATACACACGCACACATATATATCACTAGCTTAAGTCACCCAATAGGACAGCATTTAGCTAGCTCCTGTTGAGGCTTTTGATTGTGTCTTCATCACAATCGCTGGAGAGGAGTAGATGTGATGGGCAACAATAAATAATAATACGTAAGATTACCTTTTCAAAGTTAAATGATTATTCTTTTGCCACCACTTGATTTAAAGACAATTTGATGCATGTAGGTGCTTACTTTCTGTATAAACAATTTTTTTTTTTTAGTTCATGGGTGACTTTCACTGGATTTCGCAACTAATTTTGATTATTCCCAAATTAATTTTAAATTTGTAAAATTTGTTAATGTACAAAAAAATTTGTCACAAAAAATCACATAAAAAAAATCACTAAAAGCAATCGCAGGAATAAAAACTTGGGAATCCAAAATTTTAGGATTGCGGGTTCAGATCTATCCTGGAATGTTTTTAATTTGCTCATGGAGTCAAACTGATTCAAAAATGGTGTGATTTATTGGGCTCTAAAATGGTGTGATATATTGGGCTCTAGGAGTAAAGTTGAAAGCACGGGCAATTTTATTTTGAAACATTGTAATTTGAGAACAGTAATTTTTTCATTTGAGCATCAGCTATTGAAAGTTAAAGAGTTGTGCCCCTTTAATTGTTTTTATCAGAAGCCAAGATGGTGGAATCCCAAAACAATCATGGTAATGAAAACTTGTGAATCCAAAATTTCAGAATTGCAGGTCTGAATCTGAACCAGAATGTTTTTAATTTGCTCATGCAGTCAGCATGATTCCAAAATGGTATGATATGTTGCAATATGGACTCTAGGAGTAAAGTTGAAAAAGCATGACATAGTGACAACCTGGCATTTGCATTTATTATATAGATTATATAAGTAATCATGTTATATATGTTAAGAATTTGGGTAAAAGATCCCGACAGTTATACATTA